ACATTCACATATATAATCACCATAAGCATAGGTAGCATCTTTGGTCATACAAAGAAAATCAATTTCATCACCAAATGTTGTTATTTTAAAAATCGATTCGATATTTCGAAAAAATTCCCGTTCGATATCTTTTAAATCATTTTGAAATAATTCAATATCCACACAAGAATCAGTTGGTAATTGTTTCATTATTTTTCTCCAAAAAAATTTGGTTTTGTTTTCAACCAAAAGACAAAAAGACGATCACAAATTATCAAATGACAATGTGTGTGCAATAACAAACACTCAACAAACATGCAAAAAAAAAAATAGATTGGAACGATATCTTCTTACAAGAACCCAAGGATTCTATTTGATCGATACTTATCATACTACTCAAAATTAATTGATTATTACATTTGCACCCAACTATACTGTACATCAAAAAAAAATTTTGTTTTTTGTTTTGCTTTTGGTTATACTTGGCTTTTTTTTTGGTTGATAATTGAATGATAATGGATTTTTTTTTAAAAATTTTATTTCATTTCAAGATTACAAGACAATTTTTGATGACATTGACACTAAAGGTTATAACATTATATATATCGGTTGATTATCTATTTTACAATGATTTTAATGATGATTATTAAACATTAATTTTAATCAAATTTAATTTAGAATTCTTTTTTAAGAATTGATTTTTGTTCAGAAAACCATTCAAGAAATTTGTAAATAATATTTTTGTTTTTTATAATATTGTTTGTAATTTTTGGTAAAATATTTTCGATTGTTAACTCTATAAGTTTGTCATGCATATCATTAAGTTCATATTTGATAATCAATGGAAGATAAGTGGATAAAGTATGTTCGTTGAGATTGCTTTGCATAAATGTTCGACAATGTTTCATTAATCGTTCATCACCATAACAATTAGCCAAATCAATAAGTTCGACTATATTGGATTGATTGATTCGGATGTGACCAGAATGTAACATACGTAGATATGCGTAATAAACATTATAACTATAATTTCTGATGAACACTTTATTATTTTCTTGCCAATCACCTGAAAACATTCGACTATAATATTTTGATGCCATTCGCAAATAACATTTACAAGCCAATATACGTTTGTAGCCGATAACAAATTCAACATCATAATTATCTGGATTATCGAATAATTCAATAATTGATATTGGATCATTGGATTCGAATATATGGATGATTAACGTAAGGCCATAAGTGATTGGTGATTCTATTACCATTGCTGCTGCTGCTGCGAATGATTCCGGTTGACCATCCAATTTTTCGGGTAGTGACATTTCCTCTACTTCTACTTCACCCCATTTATAATAATGTGATGACTGATCCAAAGCTAATGAAAAATGTAGATTATTCTTACAAGCTACACTTTGTACATTTTTAATTGGTATTTTTGTAGGCACCTTTGCATTTTGCTCACTATAACTAATAGAGCGTTGACAATAACCACAACCAAAAATCTGACCATCCTCCAATAAAAATAACGAATGCAATGCACCGGCCACAATATTTTTGATTGGACTATCAATCGAATAATCAATAAATAAAACCAGTGTGGGTATTCTTCTATTATCTTCATCTCCGAGACCTAACTGTCCATACTCATTCCAGCCCCAGGAATAAATTTCATTCTTATTGGTTAGAGCAAGACTATGGCCATCACCACAAGCTATTATTTTGACATTAATCAAACCAGTGTTCACAACAGTATCATACGATGACTCTGAATTACCGGTCAATTGACCATATTCATTATCTCCCAAAGCAAAAACGGTGCCATCTTGTCGTAACAACAACAAATGTTTCCATCCACATGCTATCATTTCAAAACGATCATTACCGGTAGAGATCAATTCGAAAGGACCGCACATTGGCCATTCAGAATCCTCACTATTGGCTAGATACACTAGTCCATCATCAGTTAGAACAACAACAAAATTCCAACCTGAATCGACTTGAATAATTTTCTTGCCATTTAAAATGTCAATCTGTTGCGGTCGTTTGGGATCATGTTCTAACAATATCCATTTGCAAATTTCATAACCATATGCGTAGGTAGAATCATTGGTCATAAATAGAAAATTATTTCGATCCAAAGACATTTTAAAAACGGAAACAATGTTTGGAATAAATTCCGGATCGATATCTCTTAAATCATTTCGAAATAATTCAATATCCACCTCAGTATCGGTTGGTATTATTTTCATTGTTTTTTTTCTTGAAAACTTAGTTTTATTAGCAGCAAAAAAAAAGGTTTTCAACAATGGTCTGCAAAAACACTGAACAATTCGATTGATTGATTGATTGATTTGATCATTAACAACGAATTTTCGAAAACAAAAAACACAAATTGAAAGCAAACAACGAAATGAGAAAAGTTAAACGATCGTTAGATCATCGTTGCATATATGCTCGAAAAAAGAAAATCGAAAAGAAAACATTAACGTGCGCATGAGTTTGCGCAACACGTTTTTTTTAGCTGTCCAAAATTGTAATGTTAATGCAGGCATTTTTTTTT